TTGATTTCTAAGTGACGAAATGGAGAAGATGATTACTAATTTACTATTGTTACCTGAGATAGCAGGGGTTAGAATGCCATCGCCGATGATCATAGAAGTTCCCATCAGAACGAGTAACAAGAGAAGGGTTTTGTAAAACGAATTGTGTTCTAATTTCTCTTTGATTTTCAATGCCCTTTCGAGTTCTGGGGTTGGCAATTTGAGCCTGAAACTTGATATACGTTCATCGGCAACTTGACGATTTGGTAGAAGATTGATCTTTGCATATCTGCAGATCAGTGAATACAGTGCAAATGTTCCTCCTGCAAGTAAAAAAACAAAACTTTACGTCAAGTAAAGTCAACCAATGAATTGGGTGTTTCATAATTCATACCTTCGCCATTGTCGTTTGCTTTAAGCACTATGAAAACATACTTTGCTAATGGAACAAGAGCAATCGTGTATATAACAAGTGATAAAGCTCCCAAAACATCAATGTCTGACTCGACTTTGACCTTGCTGAAAACATCTGTAAACACATACAAAGGACTCGTCCCCATATCACCATACACGACTCCAAGCGTCTGAAAAGCCAATCCAAGAGTCTGCCATATCGATACCTCCTGGTATTTTCATACGATTAAAGCTTCTAATTAGCGATTAAAGTTCGTAACAGAGTTTGTAATTAAGTTTGAGCCAACCTTGTCATGGTGGCCATGGGAGCCAGAGATAGCCATGGCTTCAACATCAAAAGAGTCGACTCTTTTCGCCTTCTTCACCAACCTTCTTCGAATAGATCCATGTCCTTCACTTCGATTCTCTTCATCGTTAACCAATGACCATGGTGGTGACTCTGAATCCACTTCACTACCATCCACCCACCGTGAAGTTGAATCACCACCACCGCTCCTCCTTCTTAGTAACCTAGCACTAATGCTACTACTAACCTCTTCGATCCCATCGTCATCCATCTCTAATTTCTTTCAAACAATCGAAAACCCACAAGAACCCTAGTTTAAAAATCTTGAAAGCAATCAATTTTGGGTGTCTTGAAATCAAGTTAAACAACTTCGGAATCTTGAAGGAATATATTCTGATGATTTCTTATCGTTTTCATATAATATTGAATTATTGGTAGGTAGTTCACTAGGTGAAGAAGATAGAATGACGTGTGTGTTTGATAGAGAGATAGAAATTAGAATGGGGAATTTGTTGTGACATGTATTGGGGTGGGGGCGAGGATAACATGGTTGGTTCAGGACAATGATTCGAGTTCGTAGTCCTTGAACGAAGAGCTTGTGATTCAAATACTTGACCAACATCGAGTAGCGACCGTTTTGTATTGGTTGGTGATTGGTGAGACTCTAAAGATGATTGGCCCATTTTGTAATGATCTTTACTTGGCTAGTTGGCTACTTCGTATTTGTTGCATATTTATTTGATATTCGCCAAAATAACCATATTTTTTTTAAATGATTTTATACATTAATAAATTGTTTTTCTTTTCATATATTTAGTTATTTTTTTTATATAATTTATCTTTAAGTTTATTTGAACCATTTAAAATATATTATTAAGAATGGGTATTGTTGATTTTTTTTATACACGATTTATTATCATATTATTTTTTATATGCAATTGACTATTAAACATTTGTTTGTAACAAAATCGATTCAAACATTTTATCAATTCTAAGTGACATTCAAACCTAAAAATTAGATTAAACACTCAATAAGTTGAAGTCACGTCTGTCTCAGATGATGGATGATAAGTGCGATCGTCCATAACCCATCTTTTAAAGGGATACAGTTTTTGTATAGAAATTATTATATTTAGAAGATAGTACAAATGATTTTATTTTAATTATTGATTTTTTATTTAAAAAAAAAAAAAAAAACTTGATGATATTTGTGTATTTTAAGGATCCATTTTTTCTCTCGCCCTGGGTCCAAAATTAGTTTGGAACGACCTGGTTGAAATTATATTCAAACAATATAATTCTATCATTGAATGGAGGTGAAAATCAAGAAGAAAAGGGCAATAGATGGATGTTACTGGTAATAAAAGGAGGTGTGAGGAGTTTTCAAGTTTCAACATGGAAGAAAATGAGGAATTTATGCATTTTGTAGTGTTTTTTTTAAAGAACTTATAAATGTAAGTTTAATTTTGTTTCTCTAACAGATAAATCTGGTAGATTTGTAATAGCTGACCGAAATGGTGTTTTATTGAAGAACAAATGTGAAGTGTATACGAAAAAAATGACTAAACATATATAAAAATGATAGTTTATTACTTTACATAGTCGGTTTCCTATTTTTCCTAATTCTAAAAAATAATCACAATTTTTGTGAATAAATATTTGCAAACTCATGAGAACACTTTTCCTAACATTTAGCATTGCTGATAAACAAGACTGCCACTAGGAATGTGTGGTGTATACGGCAGCACATGACCTGTTTCCTTCAGGGGTCTTGAATTTTTATGTATATTAGTATTAATGATAAATTAGTGATAGATTAGTGACAGCTCAATGATATTTTTGTGTTGATTAGTTTTATAACAACTATTGACTGCTCAATAATTTTTGCTTATATATAAAAAAATTATGATACGTTTTTATTTTTCCCACAATATCTTTAAAATCAAGAGACTGACTCTACTAATAAACATTTTATATATCACGCATATTTCGGGACTAGAATTTTTAGCGTTTTAAGTAGCAATAATTTGAAAAGTTAAACAAAATAAAATAAATTTATATAAATATTAACCCTATGTACCTTTAAGAATAGTTCTCTGTTCCTATTGAACCACACACACACACATATATATATATATATATATATATATATATATATATATATATATATATATATATATATATATAAAATTCATTTTCTTAAAAAATTCCATGTTGGTTTTATCTGTTCCTGTACACGTGTTGGGGTAGATTTAAGATATTGTTCATCATATACATGGGTCGTCTTCTCCTTTACCACCGTCACTTTCATTACTTTATTCCTTCCACGTAATAATCCACTATCTACCTCCTTCCAAATCCTCCACTTCCTCATCTACTTCTAATTTACTCAATTTTTAGACATATCAAATTTATTTCAGTTCCATCCACCAAATCGATCTACCTTCCACCACCGGTCGCCCAAATCGAATCTCTTTCATACCCAACCGATCATCAACCATCCGGGGTCGACGTCCCACCGACGATGACGAGGCCGACGATCGCCCCACCTCAACGCCTGCTTACAAAGGTATCTTCTCTGTTTTTTGGTGCTGATGTTGACATGAAGTCGACTTATAATTAGTTTCAAGAGCTTGTGGTTCTTTGTCTCCATAGGCGATACCTTCTCTAATTTTCTAATCTTCAAGATCTTAGGCCTCACTATTGCCAATCTTCCTTATTTTTCATCAGACATAATATTTCAGCCATATTTGTTTTTTTTTTTTTTTCAAAATCCATAATATCAAATAAGTTATCTAAACATCAGAGTGTCCAAACAAAAACGCCGGAGAGAGTGCACGTCGCACCATCAAGTCGGGCTCTTGCCTTTAGGCTCTGAAGCACCTGAAACAAACAACAAACTGTAAGTTAATGCTTAGTGAGTTTCTCAGAGCATACCCCACACAATCCACAAAATCCATAATAGCTCTATAAGCTACACATAATACATAAGCCATGCATACAAACATATAAGGATGCCATGGAAACCATCCAAGGTCTTATACCAAGTGTCACTGGAATCCCCATGTGGTCTTAACTATCAGCCATGGGAAACCCCCACATGGTCTTTGCGAGCAGCCACTAGAACCCCCACGTGGTCTTGGCTACCTGCCGTGGGAACCTCCACATGGTTAACCATAGAAATAACATACAAGCTAAACATGTACACATACTAGGAAGTTGTGGAAACCTTCCAAGGACTTATACCAAATGCCATAGGAACCTCCTCATGGTCTTAATATACTGCCATGGGAACCCCCCGGAGACTTCCATACTAATGTCATAATAACATATCATATAATCAGCTAACAATCTATATATCAACTCGTTGAGTTCCTTCATAGTCCGGTAAACCGAAAACTCAAGTCAACTCGCCGAGTTACCTGAGTAACTCATCGAGTTCTTCAGTGTCCAGGAGACCGAAAACCTTAATCAACTCGCCGAGTCATCTCACCCGCTCACCGAGTTCACTTAGAATCTAAAAGGCGAGTAAACCATGCTTAACTCGGCGAGTTGGTTATGCAACTCATCGATTTCCTTTAGCCTTTTTCATGTTCAGTCATTTCCAGTTGAATCCAAAGCTCCAAACTACAGATCCGGTCCCCTAGGGTGTAGTTACCACATTAAGTTGCCAACTTTACGTGCATGCAAGGCCTCAATAGGCTAAAACACTCAAAACTAAGCTTATGAAGGGATTTATGGCAAGGAGAAAGGCCAAAGCTTGATAAAGCTTGAATCTTTAGGTCCAAGGAGACCTAAGGTGTCCAGATATGAAGTCACAACTTCAATTCATGCTCAACTCGGAAAATGGCTCCAAAATGGGTATAATACATAGAAATGCAACTACATACAGATAGGGGTGTTCGTTTGGATGGATCGGTTTGATCCAATCCAATCAAGTGAATCCGAATAGATCTCGGTTTTCAAAACATTGATCCGAATAGTCAAACTAAATTTAAATCCGATCCGATGCAACTAAATTACAATTCGGTTTTCAATAGGCAAAGACATTTTGAAAAATATATAACTTGAATATTAGCAAAATCTATAAAGATACTATTTTTTATAAATTATAATCTATAAACAAATAATAAGAAAATATACTATAACTTTATATTTCATTGACAAAAAAAACTTTTGATAAGAAGTAATTTTAACGTATTATATTCGATGAAAATTTCTAATAACTAAAAATAATAAGTCAATAAAGTTATAAATAGTCAAAGATACATGTGAAAAATAGATAATAAGTTGTTATTCAGTTTTTTGGACTATTTGGTCCCTAGTTTATAAACCAAAACCAATCTGAAATCCAAAATAATGATTCGGTTTTGCTGAAAACAAATCCAAATATCCAAATATCTGAACCAAATAGTCTGATCCAAATTGTCCAATTGGACAATTTGGTTTTATCCAAATAATAAACAACCCTAATTACAGAGTAAAAAGAAGGGACACACACAAATAAGTCCTTAGAGTCTGAGGAAGAACCTCTCGGGCCCGACCTACGACAAAATTGGCGGAAGTTGTCATAATCTAGCTCCCACAAGCGAAAGAGGCCCACGAAATCCGTATTAGCAAGGGACAAAAGAGCAATATCCACCTCTTTAGTTCTTCTCGCGGCATAGCCAGGATTCAGGGATTCAGATTGCCTAGACATTGAGGAACAACTATGTAGTTGCTTCCACTTCTCAAACCCAAGGGCCTCAAACGCCCTACGAACACCGTGGATTCCGCTAGCAAATTTTGCGCTCTCGATAACTTTATCAATTACGCGAACCACCCCCATATCCAGCATCCATTACAAACTGCCTCGGGCAACAACACCATCAATACGGGGCAGGGGCTAACTGACGTTGGCACCTGGCCAACTCACTCGCTAGCACACCTTTCTCCTGAGTAAGAGAGCTCACTTGGCTTTTGAGTCGCTCTGTTTGACACTCCAAAGTGGTCACATGATCTTCCAAAACAACCTTCTTGCAGGCCACAAATCAATTTTGCGCTGGAAGTACTCGACACTCAGCCTCCAAATCATGTAGTTCCTAACTTATGCTTGCCACAATGCCTTGAAAAGTTTTTAATTGTGTTTCATTCACACCAACACAACAAACCCGGTCGGCGGCAGCAACCATAAGGGCAAAAGCCTGAGCCGTGACATAACGAAGGTTGTTGGGCATATGAGCCCTTGATTGATCTGCAAGAAACCTCATTGTAGCTGGGGTTGAGCACAGCTACTCCATTCCTAGGCGGTGATGTCTTCCGACAGTAAGGAATCCTTTGTAATCGCCCAACCCGGAGCATATGCCTCGAAAGACAAGGAGTGAGAAGTAGTTCCCACTTCGCCCACTCTGGCAGGCCTCTCCGGCTGGTAAGAACCTTTAAGTGAACCCGATATACCCCCAAACATGGAGCTGGAACCAAAATCGTCTGGGAATGAACCAGTAAACGACGAAGGTGGTGTCACCGAAGAACTAGGCACTGCCACTCTCTCATTCTGCCCAGTCACAAAAAACTTGTCACCAAGAATATCATCGATGCCACCAAGAAGCTTGCCCACAGACACAGTCTTATGCATCTTGTGAGGGCGGAGGCCTGCATCATCGGATTCAGCCTTCTCATCCGAGTTTGATGGCACCACTCGTAAACTTCTTATCTTTCTAATATGGGCAGTACTTTTTCCTGCTAGTACCCCCATAGGCAAACCGAAAGAGCACGGAGCCGACAAATAAATTGGGGAAATGACCCTAACAGTTGGCTGGGAAGGCGAGGTAGGTCCGCTGGAGCCAACATTTCCCTTTCTGCCAAGAGCAATCCAACGAACTCCCGCATGTATTTTTCAGACACGATAAGGGGAAGAGCTTCCACAATATTGATATCCCAGTGGCAAAGCTTACCCCGATAGTAACCACGCAGGGCCATCCCTAAGGAAATTTCGGCTTTAGCATCTGTAAAAACAAACATCGAATATAAGAACTCACAAACCAATAAGATACCCTGTTCTAAACCTCTTTTTTCTTTTAAAAAATAGGGGGGGGGGGGTGAGGAAGTGAGTAAATATCGCATCTCACGACGAACAATTGCACCATCTTCCCATGAGCCCTCCAGGCGGCGCTCATACCAGCCGCGACAAGGATGAAATCCTCCCAGTTCTCTCCAATAATAGTAATGCTTCTTAGGAGTTTGCCAAGAGTTAAGTTACTCCCGAATAGCTTACGAAGACGGTCAAGAAAGTCTCGGGTTCTATAAAACCCTTGCCCCACAAGGTTTCGGTTAACCCAAAGCCATTGCGTCTGCTAATACTTCTTGGGAGTATCTTGTTCAGAGATCACTTGATGAATCCCCTACCTTTTCGCTAGAGTACGAACGTCAGAGTTTGTAGTTGAACAAAAAAAGTAACTAAAAACCCAAAAAATAGGTACACAACCCAGGGATCGACAGATCAATGCAAAACCCACAATTTTATTGACGACACTTGGGGTTAACTCGTCAACGAAAAATCCATAGTGATGCACGGTCATGTCGAAGAAATTAGATGTCGGCAGGCGCAACCCCGCTTCAAATTGAGGGATCGGAACCCCCACTTTCCCTTGAGGACAGTCATAAATTGATTCCCCCTTCGTCAGAATCATCTCACCATGTTCTAGTAAGAAAACGAAACGACCTTGAAAAAATCGGAATTCCTCTACAGTAGGGACTCTACCGTAACGGTCCATTGTCGAAAACAGATGAATGGTAGGAAAGAAAATTTTGCAAAATGCTCGAGTCAATACAACGAAAGAAAAGAAAGGATGTGAGGATGAAAGGTATCGGGAAAAAGGGGAATTTAAATAACAAATTGGCGTCATAAACCAGCTCACGATGCATCTGACACATATTGACGACACTGTATAAAGCTTGTTAAATGCTAGAGATAATCCCAGACATACATACATTGAAATATAGGGTCGAACGACAACGCTATCAAGTCGACACATATACCTACAAGCCTAAGGGACTTGTTAATGTATCCCTCGGGGAGAACGTCATAAAAGGAGAAGTTTAGAAGATATTATGTTGCATCATTGGGCGATTTTGTTTGTGTATTTGTAAATAGGTTGGGCCTGTCCACATGTTTTATATTTTCTAGGGTTATAGTATTTAAGGTGCATGCATGCACTGTATTCGTTAACTTTAGCAATATTATTGTAACCTTAATCACACCTCTACAGTAGCAATTCTTATAGAGTTCATCTGAGACTGTGACTTTTGAATCATTCAGCATATTTTGATTCACTGTCGTGTTATTGCTTTAATATGTCTTGAATCTTTTCGATCTTTCAAGGATTAATATCCTAACAATTGGTATCAGAGCAGGAGACTGTGTAATCCATACACATCTCTTCAGTTTAAAGAGTCATTAGGGTTTCCGTTAATATTGGATCTAGTTTAGCCGTCATCATAGTATTCTTGATGTTATTCAGTGATCTCAATATTACCCTAAAATTATTTCAATTTTACATGTCTGGTTCTCAACAGGTTTTAAAGATCTTATCATCATGCAACACGACGATTCTCACATCAACTCCATCAATCTATCTAGAACCATTTGATCAAACACAAGGACTCCTATCCTGCTTCCTAATGAATCTGAAGTATGGGCACTTCACTTTGAAGATTATGTTCTTGATTTGGAGGAAAATGGTTATCTTATATGGGAAGCTATCACTCTAGGTGCTTTTGCTCACACTGGAACCAAAGGAGTCATTAAGACTCAGAATGATTACAACACACTTCTTCTCAAAGTAAAGGATGTACATCAAGATGAAAAGAACAAGCTAATCAGTAATGTCAAGGAAATGAGAATCATTCGAATTTCTTTGCCTCCTAATACTTTTTGCGTGGTTAGTACTTGTGACATAGCTAAACAAATCTATGATAGGCTTAAGGAACTCTACTCCACTGATGCAGATCTTGATTATTCTACACAAACACTCCTACTTTAAGAGTTTGGTGCCTTTATACAGAAGCCTGAAGAGAGTTTAAGTCAATCCTTCAACCGCTACAACCATCTTCTCAGTAGAATGATGAAATATGACATTGGAAATGAAATAATCGAATAAAAGGTCACATTTATGAATGGACTTCGATCAGAGTGGAAGGCAGTGATGTCTACAGTTAAGGCACATGAGCAGTTCAAGAACTATACATTAGCCAAGCTTGTTGGCATCCTGAACTCACATGAAGATGAAGTGACTAAAGAAACAAAAGTTGTCTCGGGGATGGGATCATGGGCCCTTATCGCAAAGGGTAAGAATGTTGCTGAAAATGAGGATTCAGATTTTGAGCTCTCTGATTGTGAACTATATAAAGAAGAGTTTTCAATGATTGTGTTGAATCCAAAGAGGTTCGCAAAGAAAAACTTCAACCAAAACAAGAACAGAAACTGGCAGGGCAGTTATAGTTCTGAAAATGTAAAAGAGGAAAATGCGAACGGTTCACATAAGGATGAAGACAAGAAAGAGAAGAAGCTCATAGGAGACTCCGACTATGATTGAGACTATTGCCATGACAAAATCATTTAGCCTAGGAGTGAATGCTGTGAAGATTAAACAAGAAGAAAGAGGGAGAAGATGATGTGGATTACTATTTGTGAAAGCTTGAAGAAATCAAGAAGAAAAAAGGTGCTGATAACTCTATGCCTGCTTTGATTGTGTAGGAAATTGAAGCTGATGATGAGTTTGGAAGGGTGGAAGTATGGTCCACATATTATGAAGATGAAGAGGTTCGCAGGCCGACTGATGGTAGAAGCTTTGTTGCGAAAGACGAGGATTCGCATCATGAAGGAATATGCTTTATGGTGACTAGTGATGTGTCTTAGATGCGAGGGTATGCTACTGACACTGGACATGAGAATGATAGTTGTTTTGCTGCAAAGCCGGTGTAAGAGCAGATCAGCGAATGTGATCAAATGATCAACAGGTAAACACCATTCTCGAATCTCTTAATATACTTGTGATCAAAATGCCCAATTTTTCCATACTTGTAGCAGGTTACATCCTCACTACATTTACCAAATTGATTTTTCTTGCACTTCTCACACCATTTCACTTCGCCTCCTTTTCCTCCAAAATTTTCGAATCAAACTTCGAAAATTTGCTTTTCTTATTGGAACCTGAAGCTCCTTCAAACCTTCTCTACTTGCCAACTTCAACCTTGCTGGCGGATCTTCCCTTGATCATGTCCTCAACAGACTTGGCAACCCAAATAGCTGCCTCTAGAGTAGGTGCCTGACGAACTGGCACTGCGTACTCCCATGAGAGTCCTTTTGTGTACCGGTCAACCTTTGTCAGCTCATCTGGAACGATGTGCAAGGCAAACTCCATTTGTCGGTGAAAGCCTTTGTGTATTCATCAACTGACATGTTTCCCTTTGTTAATGTCAGAAACTTGTTCTTCAATTCCAACATATTTTGAGTCGAGCAGAACTTGCGCTTGAACTGCGCCAAGAACTCTGCCCATGACAATTGCAGTCGCTCATTAGGGCTTAAAGTCTTCCCTAGAGTGTTCCACCAACGAACGGCTCCACCTCGGAACTGACGCACTGAAAAGGTAGTCTGCAACTTGCCTCTGCAACCACAAGTCATGAAGGAAAACTCCATTTCGAAGATCCAATCCATCACTCCGATCGGGTCCTCCTTTCCAGTGAAGGTCGATGGTTTGCATTCCTTCCATCATGGTTGTTTTGCCTAACTATCGGTGGGTTGGCTTGACCAACAGACCCACTGAAGTTTCCACCTTCCGAGTGCCCTTCATTCACTTCGGGCTCTTCCACTTGAATTAACAGTTCTTCACGATTCTGTTGAAGCAAACGTCTCGTTTCATGCATCTGACGATCCAACACCGTCTGAATCATCAATTGTATACCAGCCATTGTTATCGGCTCAGGTGTTGCTGCTACGATAGATATTTGCTCAATCACTGGTGGTTGGTTCCTGTTTTCATCAGCATTTCCAACTCCACTTCTTGTTCTCACCATTTTTGATCTATACACCGAATAAGGCGAAATTAGATCCTTATTCACGATAGATATTCAAATCATCCTTATCACTCCGAAATGTTTACATGTTAGTTCTAGTATCGTAGACGTACGCTTAGAATCCTACACACATAAGGTTTCCATATCCGGTTGGCAATAGACCATATATCCGAACAAACTAGTGCTCGTGTCTAAAACATAACACACACACACACATCTCAAAATTTCACTTAGCATTTTAAGTTTAAGTCTAGAAATCCTACAAATTCCTAGTTCGCTTAAACTAATGCTCTGATATCAACTGTGACATCCCCAAAATCACGGCCAGAAAAGACCGATTTAATTTGTGCTTTAAAAATGATTTCAGAGTAATCCTTTGATTAAAACAGTTGCGGAATTTGTTCCCAAAAACAAAACGTGATAAAATAATATTTACCAAAGCATTTCATAAAAGAAATGTATTTTCATTATGTAATCAAAACACAGGATGTCATGTTCCGATATAGACCATAAATCATAAACGATAACAGTACAAGTCATTCAACAAATATATACATATACAAACTTGTAAACAAAACAACTTGATGATTCATCTATCTTATGCCCTTGCGCCACTTCCTGTAATACAAATAAACTGAGTGGGTCAGGCTTGGGAGCCTGGTGAGCATACAGGGTTTTCAA